TACCACAAAAGGTTCAGCAAAAACTACTGCTAAAATTGCTCAGTGGTCAGTTGTGTTTCTTGAAATTAATTTTCAGACTGAGTAGCTGCCTGCTGTGAGGAGGTTTATGGTACACCGTCTCTCCTGACTGCCAGAAGTTGCCTAGGACCTTTTCATGCACAAGCAACACATTTTAAAATATGCACTTGCTTAGGCACATTATTATTCTAAATGTCTTGAAGTTATGTTCTCACTCTTTGTCACCATAGAAATGATTATACAATTACTTACCAGTTTCTCCAAAGAAGGTCTGCCTGTGTGTCTGGGTACGGATACAATGGCTCTCCAAGGCATTGAAGAATTACTTCACTGCAAATAAGAGACCATCTCTTCGCTGCCCGGGACCTAGCAGGGAAGGAGCAGCTGCCAACCAGGCTGACCAAACGCGTTTTGAAAGGAGCAGGCACGGCAGGCTGTGGGCATGTCCTCTTCCAGCTGCGGCTTTACCAGCCGGAGGAACCTGCGCCGTAGCATGGTGCCCTGTTGCTGTTACCCCTCCGAGGGTTGCGCTCCCAGGTCCGCCAGGCAAGCCACTTCAGTGTCTCCTGCTTAAAATGGTTTAGTCAAAGCAAGCTATCCCCCCAATTACAGCATGAGCCGTATAGACATGACGTAACACGAGCGATGCTATTTCGGCTGCAGCAGAGGACCTGTGGGCAGATGTTCTCCCTGCACTCGCTTCTGCAATGGCATCTCAGGGCACTTACCCGGTACAAAAAGGGTATGTGGGTCCCTCACACTCACGCGAACTTCACCCCTTTTGGCAGTGTGAATGTCAAGCTGAGGTGCCGAGCACTTGCCCATGGTTTAGCCAACATTCAAAGAACAGATACCATACGCTTTAATCAGCCAGGCTGGATTTCTGTTTTTCTTATTTTTTTTTTCATCACTTGATTGAACTGCACGCAACAGCAAACCGGACTCGTCTTTGAGGCAATTCCTATTTCATTCCATAGTAAACAACGTATTCCCTCTCTTTAAACCTCTTTCTAGTTCAATTTTTATTTCTGCCCCACTATTATATTCCTCAGTGTTTTGTCTACAGAAATAATCTTTTATGAATCTTGGGTTCAGTGCCCAAGTTCCCTACAAGTCCTAAGAATTCCCTTCTCTGAGCCGTACGTGCATTAAAGACACTGAAGAGAGCCCTTTCAAATTCAAATACATAAAAGCAAACAGGAATATTAAAACAGAAAATGCAAACACAAAAATGCAAACATAAATGGTTTCCACAACACACTGGAAAGCAAATGAAAGGGTAATGTTTTTGATAGGGGAAAGCAATTGTCTAGGAAAATAAAAATTATAAATCTTTAGAAGGGAAGATTTGAGGTGTTTTTTTTCTGAAATGGGGACAACTATACAGAGCAAGGTCTCAAAGTTCATCAGATGCTGTGCTAATTTAAGAGTCTTAAATAGCAGACGTTGTCTGTCTGTCATGCAATTGTGTGTCTGTCAGTTGTCTGTTAGGTTGGGGCTCTAGAGGATCCCAGATGTGCCAGTGGAATCTTGGGAGCCAAAGCCCTACCCAGACTGTCTAGGATTTTTATTTGTCTTGATTTTTATTTGTCTTGATTTTTATTTTTTTTCTGGCAAGTTCAGCAAGGGTAACACAAACAACTAGTTAAAAGTAAAGTTGGACCTAAACTGTTTGTTACCTAACAATTTCTTTTTCATCTTCCACAACCCTTTTTTACAGTCTTAAACAGTCTGCTTTAAAAGAAACACTTTTTTTTTTTTGTGCCTTTCCCTGTTTCTAAACAGTGGAGAAGTACTGAAATGCAGTGCCAAAGCCTTTTCTTCCAGTATTTCCATCCCATTAGAAACCACAAAGTGAGGCAAATTCTGAGAGCAAGCCTCTTCTTGCAAAACTTCCAGTTCATTCTATTGAACAGAGAAGTTTGGATGAGTTTGATTAAGCTTGCAAAGGTTGACTCAGTCCTTCATCCTCCACTGGTAGGTAAATTGAATCATGGGATTTATAAAGAATAAACCTCGCCAGACAAACTTGATTGCATTTTTGATGGAATTACAAAATTAGCAGATGATGGGAAAGCAGTAGATGTAATATATTTGGATTTCAGGAAAGCATTTGGTACTGCCTCATGAAATTTTACTTGAAAAATTAATTCAGATTGGCTGCAAGTAGAACAGTGCCATGTGGGGACGAGGAGCTCAGACCTCATGAAAAAGGACAACGACAAGAGGCAGCACACACTTGCCTGTGCCCCTGACCTCAGCACTCTGAGGACATCACCTTTGGTCCTCCACCAGGAGATGCAGCCACAAGGCTCTCCGTGGGCTCCTGCTGAGTCTGGCTGCGCTGCCACGGTCATTCTTGATTAGGATAGAGGACTGGAACTTGGCCTGCTGATGTGGTCAGGGATTGTGCGACCCGTATGCCACGTGGACGGGAGCTCGGTGTCACGGCAGGAGTCACGTTCCGCTTTCCTGGAAGCCAATGACGCTGGCGTCTGAGGGAGAAGATTGTGGTTCTCCTGTTCCAAGGTGCTGGGGGACAGGGGATAACTAAAGCAAAACCCACCCACCTTGTTGGGAAACGGGTGAGAGTTCCTGAAGGATGATTATCTACTAGGTTAAAGTAAAGGAGACAGAGATCTTTAACGAACACAAACTATCCTAAGACTGCTTTGTTCCTCTGTGTCAAGGAAAAGAGACACCGCACCGTTACGTAAAATATTCTGCTGTGATTTCACATTTCGTTCTGAAGGCATCATCCCAAGAAAAATTATTGACAAACAGGGGTAATTTTAGAGAAGGAGCAAAGCAAAATGTCCAGATGCTGACGTGATAGAATTTATGTTTTTATACATACATATATCTATATGTAGTATAAATAGCTTGGCTAAAAGGCAGCCATGGGGGTTTGGCAAGGTACCAGCATTTAGAGGCCATAAGAATACAAGTACAAATGGCCCTTACCAGTCAATTCAGGGATACTGCAGCAGACTCCAGCAGGAGCTTCCTGAGGGAAAGATGGATCCTTGGGGCTTGGACAGAATAGCTGACTGTGGAGAAAGTGGTATAACTAGGCAAACTGGGTGGAAATCAATGAAAGAAATAAGTAGCTGAAATATGGGGAAAACTCTTTAACAGTGAACATCCTACGATGTTATCAAAGGAAACTGTAAATAGCTCATCCATCAGAACATACATCTAATTTGGATAAAAACTGGTTTTTTTCCATGTGGATTCCCCTGGTCCTTGCCAATTCCTTGAAAGCTCACAGGAGTCTCAGTGGGGTTTGGTTACACCTCAGCAGAAGACAAGCCCATATCCACCCAGTAGAAAAATATTTCCTCTGGCTATCTGCCATGTAGAAACCAGATATTAGCCTTCATTTCAGTTCTTTCTTTACGTTTCTTGCATGCCGTCTCTGCTTTCCCACTCATTCTCCATGCCTTTGGCCCCCACCGGTAAGGACCAGGTCAGCAGTTGCAGAAGAGCTTGGTTCGTGCCATGCCCCACCAAAACTCTTCCCAGCAGCATCCATCCCCACCAGGTTCACTTCGCAGGAAGCACTCCTGAAAGTGTTTCTGCATTGGAGCATCCTGCGTGTTTTGACTGTGCAAAGGGGGATAACTCTATCACCTCATCAGGGCGGATTTGGTCATGCAAGCCACCAATTTGTTTATCTCTGTTCAACGGTTAATTTTTTTTTTTTTTAAATACTGAAAGCTTAAATCTAAAAATCCACTGCTTTCCTAAGACCTTTTAAGTCAAGTTTCAAAGGCAGTCTTTTATTGCTGGGTTATAAACCCCTTTACAGAAGGAAAGCTTTAAGTCTGAATATTAAAGTGTTCAAAGTTCCTTTTTGGATTGTGAACCTATTATTAAAGCAGGATGGAAACTAGTTTGCAGTCTGCCTTTTACACAGAGCATCCATACTGCCAGAGTCCAAAATGAAGTCACTTTTTTGGATTAGGTGCAGACCACAGAAGGCTTAGAAATGCCACTTGTAATTAAAAACATTGCGCCTGGATCCCTCTGTCTTTATCGAGGTTAAATGGCCACTGAAAGCAATACAAGTGGAGACTGAAGAACAACAGCAAGCTTGTGTCCTCTATTTTCTAATATACTTAACTGTTTATGGATGGTAGGGAAGCTTTGTACGTTTTGTACGTTTCAACAGTAAAATGGATGCAATTTCCTCTAACTTTGATAGTGATTGTAATAACAGCTAGTGCTCTGTGAGGCCAAGCAGAGCCACCTCTCCCTGTCCCCTTCTCCCCGCCTTTTGAGATTGACTGTCAGCCCTTCAGCGTGGACAAACGTTGTGGGCTGTTGTTGCAGCGAGCGTTGTTTTTTCAGCTTTATCTGTTGTATTTCTGCTAATGCCTTGTCTACTTTATGGATCAGAGACTTTTATCTAGCCGTCTGGAAGAGCTTAGCACGACGCAGCCCCTGATCCTGCCTGAGCTATCACCATATCAATACTAATTGCACAGCATTTTAATTCTTCAAAACGTTATGTCAACTAGGTGGGCTCGATTCAGGAAGGATGTGTGCCGGTACCCGAAAAAGGGCTTGGCTGGAACTGAGGCGCTAAGCGGAATACTGCCATCTAACATATCCCCTGCCAGCTGCCGGCAGATGTGGGCTCATACTCCTGTTTCTTTTTTGGTCAACATCTTGTCGGCCACTGCACAGCCCAGTTTGACACCTCCTGCCTTAACTTCTACTGCGCTGTGGAAACCATGCATCTTTCCATTCAAGTTCCCTCCTCTGCCCCTGGTAAATATTCTCAGGATAGATTACACAGGATCAGACCCTTCCAGAAACACAGCTCGCGCCACTTTTTTTCAACGTATCACAGGAACAGAAGAGACTTCGCTATCTGGAAGACAGACCCACCTCCCCAAAAACATATGCCAGATCCCGGGGAGATTATGTAAGAAAAGGTGACTATGACCCTGCAGACTAGTGATTAGGGCATTTACCTTGGAGGAGAGAACCTGTACTCCCAGGACAGTTTCTGAAGCTTGCTCTCTTGGGTCATTGTCAGGCAAGGCAGAAGAACAGTTTGGTGAGCACAGTTCAAAACTCAAGAGCTCTCCAGGTTTGCTAATTGCAGCCTCAAGGCATGTCCCCAGTCATTACCCTGGCTGCCATCCCTGGCTCCCTGCTTCGCCCAACAGCCTGTCCCACATCCCTGGGACAACCTGGCCCAGGGTCCCCTCCTGGGCACGGGGCTTAAAAGCCTCAAAGCTTTCTTCTCCCTCGCACAAAGAGCGT